AAATACCACCTGGAGTGCTGGACCAAAAACCTACTGACACAGCCAAGTCACATGACTGCACCTTAGCAGGAATTTCCCAATAAAACACCTTCTTTGCTGACAAGGACGCTGCTTTGACAGCACTGAAATTGCTGGGAAAAAGCCGACATATTTGGACTGTTCATTTTTTTCCATCTGCTGTCTTCTTGGATGGGAAATTTGCTCAAAAATTATTGAGAAGTCCTTTTTTACTTACATGGATGTCCAAGTAAACAGTCCTGGATTTTTTCTTTTGGACTGAAAGTACTTTTTCAAGAAGCCATTAATTTAAAATCATGTATTATGAATTTGAAGGTAAAGAAAAGGGCTTCAAATATCACAAAATGGTTTTTGGTTTATTTCTGTGTTTGTGGAGCTGAATATCGATTTGACCTTTTTTCCCCAGTGTTTGGGGATTTTGGTTGGTAATGGTGGTTTAGAGGGGTTTTTTTGTGCATTTTGGAAGGAAGAAGAGCTGTTACCGTCACGAAAATGGCTGTGTGAAGGGAGCAGTCCCTGATGCTGTCGCGATGAGGCACAGCGGAGCTCCCTCTGGTGCCGGACTGTCCTTAGCTCTGGATGCAGCTGCCGTGAGAGCAGCTCCAGGCTGGCAGCCTTCTATTAACACTGCAGGGGGCTGCTCTCGCTGCGGGATAACCGCGCTTTCCAGGGTACAGAAACCTGCTTGGAGATTTATATCCTTCTGGGCATCCCAGGCATGTTTAATGGTGTGCAATATCTGCATCCCTGGGGTATGCTGGGAGCTTATCTGATCAGGCTCAGCAGGACATCAGCCACGTGGTTTACACTTGTCAATTTTTATGCTTCTCATCTGAAAATCCCAAACAACAGCCTGGTCCTTGGAAAGCTTCCAGTGGTTGTGAGATGGTAGGGCATTAAAGTAAGGGCAATGAACTTGAAAGGCTCCTACAGCAGGTAAGTACCCCTCATCCTGTAAATAGAGCTGAACTGGGGGTAAAACAAAGGTTTTATATGTGTGACTGCATCTGTACTCTGGGCATTTGCTGGAGCAGCATTGTCAGCCATGGTCCCATACAATCAGGCTGAGCAGGAGCAAGCCTGTGATGCTCAGAGACCACAGATAACACCCCACGATCCCAATTTGTGTGTTCTTTGTTATGGCTAATCCTATATCCAGCCTGAATCAGACTAAACCCTCACTCATTCCTAATTCCCCCAAATTAATGCTCACATTGCTGTGTACATGCTGTTAGCTAACAGAGCACACAGCAGACATCATCCTCCAGAACATGCTGGGCTGTTTAGAAGACTTTTTGCTCCTTGCTGCTTATTGCCAACTCTGCCAGCACAAGTATTTCCCAATCTGCCTGTAGCAAGCCCAAAATGTTCCCTCCTGCTGATAGAAATGTGAGGAGCTGAGCTCAGGAAGAGAGAGGGTTCCTGAGAGAAGGCAGGGGGAAAGGATGAAGTGAAAGCAATGTGCTTAAACCATGTCATCATTTACAAAAGTAGCATCTGGGCAATGCAATTTTCCCTTGTGGCAGGTGCTAGGGGCCTTGTTAAATTGTGGGCCAGATATATCCACCTTTACATGCAGCAACTATTTTTGTTGGGCACATATAAGTCCCAGAGACAGAGTATGGAACCAAGGTTAAATTGCCTTCCCATGCAGTGGCTGCCGCAATAACGTGTTTCAGTACCCTGGCTCCTACTTTTCTGGCTCAGTAATGTAATTCTAAAATCTAACTAATAATAAAAACTCTCATTTATTCCCTCCTCCCCTGCTTTCACAGTGTCTGGCAAACTGTGTATTGAACAACAGAAGATTACCAGTGTCACTAAATGTTAATATGTATGTGATTCATCGAGTTGGTGAAAAAGCATAGCTCTTAACTCAGTAGATTATTTTCTTAAAAGTTTGATGTCATCTGAACTGGCTAGGAATTTGAAGATTTTCAGTTTCTTATAGACAAGAGGCTTCTCAACCTCAACAGCTCTGTAGACACTTGATATTTGTACAGAGCAGCAGACCTATGACATTATAACCGAAAAAATATTAATCCAACCAACCAACTACTTCAAAAGAGAATTTCAGCCAAGACCTAGTGACCCCTTTGTGTGGGACAAACAGTACCACTTGCATCTTCAGCTGTGCTGCTACTCATCTCTGTGATGATGTGATGCAGACAACCCAGTGTGGCATTGAGAAGCAGGTGACACTGAGGGGTCCCAGATGTCTTGTGAGCTGTCAGTGAAGGGACAAGTCACCTCTCAGGCTGTGGAGACTCATTCAATTACTAGAAGTAGGGACCCCTTAACAAGAAATATCTCCCTTCGGAATGTTTGCACAGAGTAATATAGGGCTCAGGTTGGCTTTTCAGCAAAGGGTCCCCTGGTAAAAATCTACTGAGCAAGAATTCTCCCCTTTCCTTTCCTTCCAGCTTGGAGCCAGGTTGTGAGCTCCACCCAGAGCCTCATAGTGGAGGAAGGGATGAAACCTTGTGCAGTGAGTCCTGGGTTTCACTGACAAAGGGCTCTGTGGGGTGCATGAAGCTGACTCACCTAAACGCTACTCCTGAGCCCGGTGGAGGGGAACGCCACAACAGAGAGAGGAAACTGTGGCTTGAATGTGCATGCTCACACACACACACACAGGATGTCTGGCTGCTTGTTGGCAGTGTTATTTATCTGAATAAGCAGCAGCATCAATCTGGATTGCTCCCAGGTTCAGACCCACTGGAGAAGTATTCAAGTATTTGGCTTTCTGAGAGTGATTTTCAAACTTTCTTTCTGACCCTTGTCAGATGGTGATTGTCAAATCCTCCCCAGAGAACTTCTGGCTCAGTCCTAGCTGGGTTTAGCTCTAAAGTAATGGTTTAGAGGAGAAATAGGATCAGCTCTTTTCTCCTGTACATATTCCTTCCCTGCCAGCAGCCAATTTCTTGTGCACTGCTACAGAAATATTTCTAATAAAAAGTAACAGCTCCCAGGGATGCTCGTATCCCTTGCTCTGCCAAGGCTGGTGATCACACCAGCATCTTGGTTCTCAAGCATCTGCCAAAACCTGATGGCTTCAGCCAGCACGATGGAGCGAGGGTGAGCCAGCTGGGATATAACGGGCAGAGTTTAGGTTCCTGGGGAGTCTTCTTTGCAGAGATAGACTCCTTCATTTAATGGGCTTTGGATCTTATTTAACACATTGCCTCACGTACAGTGCGGGTGTAAAGAAGCTGTGTGCACATAATAAAAATCTTGGCCTATTTGTGCCTAGGGGAGCCCTAATAAATTTGCCACTATAGCAAGTGTTAGTCTCTAAGGCCAATACTGAATACTGGAGTTTAATAAAAAAGAATTCTGAAACAGAAGAGCTGAAAGGTAAACCAGTTTGGCTGACAAAGCAAACACAGTTTAATTAAAAATGAAGTTTTCTCCTGGCCTTGGCCAGTCCCAAGGAGCAGTGTCTCAGGCTGGCTGTGTCTGGCCTGCCTTCTGATGGCTGCTCTCAGGGTGCATTTTCCTAGCACACGATCAGAGATCTCCCAGACTGGGCTGAAGGCGCTTCTCAGAGTGTGTTCAGGCCACTGTTAGGGCAAAAGATGGATAAGTAAGTCTTGAAGGATGGCATATTCCAGGCATTCACCTGTATACAACATTAATGTCACAGTACTCTGGCTTGTGCTGGGACTGAGAAAGCAGGCCAGTAACAGCAGCCCTGCCATTAGACCAGCCCAGAGGAGTGGATATTTTCCCTGTACAAATAGCTGTCACACTCTCAGATGCCCCAGGACACTGTGGAGTTATTTAGCTGCACTGTCTGAGAGCAGAAGCAGCTTCAGTAACTTCCAGGCCCATCAGAACAGAATTCTAGAAGCTGCCTTTTGTTGCTCTGAATGTGAAAACTCTTCTTGGTAAAATGACACAAGTGGTGGTGGTTTTTGCCCTATCTGTTTCATATAATGGATGTTAGATTGAAAAAAAGACTGACTACAGAAGAAGCCACTGAAATTAAATACTAGAAGAATTATGCAAGCCAATATTTTAAATCCTGGTGAGATTTAACTATTACTAGTTTACCACAAGAAATGTCTCACAACTCCAAAATATGATGCTCAGACTTCTGAAACAGCAGATCAGCACCTATTTGTGGCAAAAAACTTACGGCAGACAACAAAGCCACTGTGGTTAGATTATTAATATATTGTCAACACATCACTTTCAACTAAGGCTAGATGTGCTACAGGCCAATGAAATTCACATTTTCACAAGCCAGGACTGTTAAATGCTTCTTTGGTAGCTATCAGGAAAGGATCTTATTTTGTGGTAATATGGCCACCCAAAGTCAATATTTTACTACATTGCAAAGGAAGTTTTTAAGCGGAAAGAATAAAGCATTGTTTATTGTACTCTATTACACTTTTATTTATGGCATTGTGGTGGTGCCACCCCCCGCCCTCGAGCCACACTGTGATCTCAGAGAGGGGTGTCAAACTCTTCAGTGCAGAGCTCTGAGTTATGTCCTGGAGGCTCGGGTATCAATGCAGAGCATCTCTCTTCCCCTGCTCCACGCGCTGCTCCCACCGCACCGCACGGTGGGATCCGTATCGAGCACAGCTCTTCTAGAGGGAGAATGTGCCACAGCAGCACACCACAAGCATTTCATCTCCATCCCCTGCTCCCTTGTGGTCCACCCGGCAGCAAATGACTTCCTCCCACACTGTGCTGGCTGCTTTCTGCTGCGGGGAATCAGAGAGCTTGAGTGCACAGCAGAAGTGCAGACTCCCAGAGACACAGCCCTGCCAGCAGGCTTTTATCCCTGGCCATGGCCTGGGATGGGGGACTCCTCTGGGAAATGGGGAGGTCACCCCAAATTCACCAAGGGCAACCGTCTGTGGGGAACAGAGAGGAGGACACTGACTGCAAGAGGGAAGGGTTTAATGGTAAACCAAGATCTGCATGCACATGGCCTTCAGCATTGTTGTAAATAATACTCCTAATAAAGAGCCAATTAGACCAACAATCTCATTACCATCCAACATGCAGTGTAGGAAGGACTAGCCTAAAGCATAACTGAGCAAAAGTGAAAACACAGCTCCGCATTTCCTGTTATAATGTACACAGGCATAAGGAGACTTAATCAGATGTGTAAGAGGTAACGAGCATGGAGAGCTGAGAGAACGGCAGGCAGCCTTATAAAGAAGCCCCACAGTGTGGCACTTTGAACAGCACCCAGCCCAACATGTTGGGGTCACCCCACACTTGTCCTGAGCACAGGCTCCTGGATGGCCATGCCAAAACCTCTCCAGTGCCAAGCTGGGCCTGGAGCAGCAGGAACTGCAGCCTGGGGTGGCACAGGTGGAGAGCCAGCACCAGGGCTGGAGGCGAGACCATGGGCTTTCCACAGAGCTGTGAATGAGGATGCAGGGAAGGTAGGGGATGAGGGGGAGCCTGGGCATTGTGGGTGTCTGTGATTTCTTGAGAAAGGAGCTCAGAACTGGAGACCCTTTTCCAAACCCAAGCAAGAAACATTGTCACAGTGACAGCCCATACTAGGCATGGCTCATGCTAGTACAGAAATTCAGAGAAAATTATTTCACAGGATCCAGTGACAATGCAGTGAGCAAAACATATTTATCTTACATCCATCCCTTAAACCTTGGGCTTACAATTTTCCTTAACATAACCAAAAAAATACCATGCAGGCTAGTTTTGGAATAGCTCTCATGTAAATCATCCCCTTGGGCTTGGGCCTCTCAAGCTGGGGTTCAGCCTGAGTGACTTTTTATAGCTGAGTTATAAACTTTTAAATGCCAGACTTAATCAGAGCCACTGAAATGGCCATTAGAGTGGTTTAAGTGGCATAACCCTGATATATGACAGCACAGAAAGTAGGCAGGTGGCTCATCTGCAGTGGGCAGTCCATCTGGGAGGGAGCAGGGTCTGGTGGCTGGAAACAAGCATGACTGAGACACAGATCTCTGGAGTTTTGCTCTTGCCCTTGTGCTATTGCTGAGTGACTTCAAGCAAGCTCTCTTGGGATGCACTGCCCTCAGCAGCCAGGTCTCAGATCAAAGGCTTAGGGGAAGAGGTGGATCCCCATGCCCTGGTTGCTCCAATATGCTGAGAAGAACATGAATATTCATCTGCCTCCCTTCGGCAAACTGCAAGAATCGTAAGAGAATTGGCCTAGTGTTTTACATGGCGTTGTGTACACTCAAAACACACAAATCAGCCTCATTTTTGGCTGACTTAGAGCAATCACCCACAAAATCTTGCTGAATAATTATAAACACAGACACATCAGACACTGAAGAGCTCAGGCTTAAGGGAGTCTAATGCTGTTTTGCTCTTTACCAGGAGGCTTTGTAAAGCTTTGAGCCCCCTAATTTTGCTAGTTCTGAGACACACAGCAGGTTCCAGCTGTGCATGGGAGAGCCTCCCTCGCTCTGCAATATTACTGTGGTCTGAGCAGAACTGGGCAGTCATCAATGTGAAAGGTGCTTGCACAGAGAAATTGATCCAAATGAAAACAGTACAGGAGCTTTTCAGGGTCTTCTTTCTAAATTTATTCAAGTATTAAACAAACAGAAACTACGGCATGCATCAGATACTTTCCTTTATTGTACAATGAAACTGTGGACTTGTTTGTATTTGCAGCATTTCCAGCAACATCAGGCAGACTTGTCGATGTTATCCAGTTTTGCACAGTCACTAGAGTGTCGCATCATGAATTATTAAATCAGTGCTTCGTGGTAATACATAATTTCTTATCAATTATTCATGCTAATGTGCGTGTAGTTTACTTAATTGTGTTATTGACGATCAAAAGTAATTTCCTGAAAATCCTCAAGGACAGAAAATTTAATCAGCGTAACTACTTTTCAGATGCAATGCTGTTAAGTATTCTTAATTTGCTCAACAATTCACTTATTTATGTACCTTTCTGGAGGAAATACGAGTTTAATCAAACAATTAGATTGAAGAGTTAGTGTACAGAAGGGCTGAAGTTCAACTGAATGCAAGGTAATTATGTTGAAACAAAGTTGGGCCTACCTCTTTGGACTGGAATATTTCTTTTAGTCTTTTTATTAGGAAGGAGAAAAAAAATTATGATTGGGAATATCACTAAGAAAACAGTGATCCTCTCTCCTCCAACCACACCCCACGATAAAGCACACAGTGATATCTGTTATTTTGGTGGAAGCATTGTTGCTGTTGTTAAGCTAAGCCATAACTTTCAGCCAGCTCCATGCACAGTTCAGCAGAGCAGCTCCTGTAGGTGAAGTACAAAGGCTACTGTATGTTTCCCTGCCTGCATTAGGACAGTTAAGAATCCCCAAAAGAAACACACTATGTGACAGAAGTACAATAAAATTACTCCATTTGATGCATGTGGGCCCTACCTGACTTTTTTTTGTTCTCTGATGGAAGGACAGACCCAGCAATGCCCTCTCTGCTGGCTCGTGCCCAGAAGACACAAACTCCACTCTGAGGGTGCCTGGTACCCTTGGCATATCCACAGTGATGGTGCTGGGTGCTGCCAAGTGACCCCACGAACCCCAGGGCTCCCACCCTTGGAGTGGGCGCTGACATCAAGCCATGCCTCTTGGAAAGGAAGGTGGGCACCACGCAGTATAAAAGGGTCCTGTGAGCCCCAGAGAACTCACAGGTTCTGTGAAATTCATGGGCTGAAATCACTTACATGGAGGAGACAAAATTCTGCTGCCAACCTTACTCAGGAATGCCTTTCCAAGCACATCCCCAAACCTGGATGCTGTGAACAGCCAAACAACCCGTGCTCAGCACATTTCAGGAGGTCCTCAGCACAATGTGCAGGATCAGGCGTGACAGGAATCCTTCCACTAGCCTCCATGTTACTTGATCAAAAACTCAGAAAAGTGGTTTCAGCCTGTTCTCCAGGGACACCTGTGGACAAGCCTAAGGAATCTGCAAATGGCACCTGGAAAATTCAAGTCCATGTCCCAAAGTTTAAACCCTCACATACAGTTCCCATGGAAAAAAAAAGTGAGATTAAAATGACTGCTCTTCAGATCTAAGTCTGCTTTGCTTTGGGGAGGTTTAGGTGAGAGATAAGACTAAATTTAATAAGGCATCAATTTCTCCTTTGCACTGTTCCCAATCTATAATAATTGGTATCTTTTCATGTCTAGATTCATTACAACAAGCTTTCAGTAAATGGAATACTGTAAATTTGGAAGGCATAAAGGAATATCCTTCCAAGCTTTATTTCCTCCTTATTAAACATAAAGCATGGAAAAACATATTTGCAGTCTTGCAATGAGGGATTATTTTTGTCTTCCAGTCCCTTTTTCCAAGACAGTGATGTCAAAATACCCCCAGGTTTGTGCAGATCTAGAGACAATTCACTCTCCATTAAATACCAGCATTACTGTTTGATGCTGTGAATGCCACTCTGAAGTCATGTGCTTTTCATGTCTAATGCAGCGAATGGAAAGAGTAATTCACTAATGTTCACACAGAGGCTAGTGCAAGGATTTTAGTCACAAGTAAACTCATCTCAGCAATTTTCCAGTAATCTATGCATGAGAAGTTTCACTTTCAGGGAAAAGAAAAAAGAAGGATTTTGAAAAAAGAAGATTTTTGTTCCATTTTCTGCTTCTCTTATACCTGGATTGCCTGGGATAGGTTTGGTTGAAGTCAAGGGCCTTCAGAAAGTAGCAGGCCAAATTGGGATATATCTGGATATTCCTTCCCCTCTGTTGTGAGCGGTGGAGTAACTGGTGCCTGGGTACATCTCTTGCCCCCAGAACTCACATCTGGAAGTGATGTGCCGCTTCCAACCATCCATTTCACACAGGATGGGAAGTTGAGACGTGCAGGAGCAATCCAGGATCTTTTCAGTGTCCCTGGGATATATGGGGCAAGGGGGGAATAAAAACAGTTTCACCAAAGTTTCCAAACACAGATAGTGCTGTTAAATCAGGGAAATGAACCTACAGCGACACAAGAAAAGCAAGGGTGCATGAAAGGCAGCCAAAGAGGCCACTCAGCTGTGTGGGTCCCTCGTGGCCCATGGTGTCCCACTGGGCACGGCCACACTGCAGTTCAGGCCTCGGCAGGGCACGGGCAGCAGAACCCCACTCTCATACGCTCTTCTCGCCCTCCATGTGCTCCTTGGCTGCTGGGGGCTGCTTGTCCTGGCTGCCCTCGGGGCCGGGCTTGGCAGGGGGCGTGGGGCTGCTGCTGGCGGCGGGCAGCAGGTTGGCAGACTGCAGCACGGCCTCCGAGTGCTCGCGGGCCTTCATGCGCAGCGCCGCCACGCTGGCCGTGCGGTTGCTCTGGCAGCCGTAGGTGGGCAGGAAGGACAGGCCCATGGGGTCTGGGACGCAGCACGAGCACAGCGGGCTCCCTGGGGAGGAAGGAAAGAAGCACAGTCACTGCTGGGAAGGTCATGGAAAACAGCTGTTCCCTCCATGGTCAGTGTGAAGAGGACAGAGATGGGGCTGGCCTTTAGTGGGTATGTTGATCTTTAGTGGGTACATTGACCTTTAGCAGGCACACAGGTGTCCTCTGGATCACTAGGGCTAGAAAACCCATATCCTGTTCTGCTGATCCTTCTGTGAAAAGGATCTTACACCGTGAGTCATCCAGGGTGACAAACAGAGTGCAAGAGGGAAGTAGAGACAGAAGTGAGTGAAGTTCAGATCACACATGAGACTTTCTCATAAGCAAGGCTCAGCTCAGTCCCTCCTCTCATATCAGCTGCTGTTCTGTGGCTGCCATCAGCTCCATGCTGGAGATGTACCCTGCCCTCCACCTGCACACTGAGCCTGACCAATGTAGGCAGCAGCATTTGGTGAGTGAGCATAGGGGTTCTGTCACTTACCTTTGCCTGAAAGATTACAGGAGAGAGAAAGGTGAAAATATTCCACTCGTTTTCTCCTATCTCACTGTAAAATGAGATACTTTCCTTTGGCCAGGTCCCTGACAGATACTGGCATCATGTCTACCTGCAAGAGTCCATTCTACCTTTACCCACTCAGTGTCTGTGCTGCTTCAGGGTGACCCCTCAAAGAGAACGGCCTCAAAAGTGAGCCAAAGCTACCTAAAGCTGCTGCTGTGATACAGCTTTAGAGTCCCATCAGGAGAGATGGGCCAGAGCATCTGTACCCTGTCATTTGAGACATGTGGCTGTTCCAAGCAGGCAGGGAAACACTGCAGCACAGATGAAGTGATTACTCTCTCTTGAAGCTAAAACCTTCCTGCAACCCACTGACAGAGGCAGTCCTCACTCCACCAGCTGCTTTTCTGAGGCTCTTCCTCTGGTTTCTCTTTGATAATGCTGTAGCTTGGGCCAGTTCCCAAACAAGCACACCTGGAAGTGTAGGTTGATCACTGGGCAGGACATGCAGTCCATCCAAAACCCACGCTGGTAGTCAGCTTAGAGGCATCCATTGAATGATGGAGAATGCGACAGAGGAGTAGGGTGGGGAGGCGGGGTAGGATGCCTGAGCTACCTCTTGAATTTACTCTCTGGTTAAAAACCAGACACCATTAGTCACCATGTTTCCAGGGGTCTTAGAGGCCACACCAGCTCCACATCTCATGTACACCCCTGACAGAAGCCTGTCTTTTGCTGATATGTTCCCTTTCAACAAGAAACAGCCCAGCCAACTACTGGCACCCACACATCCTGACACGATGCAGTATCTTCCCCTGATCTTTCCAAGCCAAGGACTTGCTTTAATTTCTGCACTTAATATTTGAGTTAAATGGCTCATGACTAAGTGATGGAACTAATAACCTCCAGAGTTTTACACTTCTGTTCTTGGTAGCAACGGGTCAGCACCCATCTGCTAGGAATGAAGGCAGACAGTTGTTTGTTTCTAAGATGTTGGCAAGACTTCTCCACAGCAATTGTCAGAGATTTGTGGCTGCCAGCAGCATTCAGGAAAAAGTATTCCTTGAATTTCAAAGAGCGGCATCTACAAAGGACAGCTTATTAATATAAATGGAAAGAACCCTTTTATCTTGTAATACTTCTCTGGTAAAGCATATGATCAGCAGACCAACATTTCCATGGGTCCAGGCATTTAAGCACAATAAAGTTTCAGCACTTGGCTAAAATTCTCGGCTTCTTTTGCTTTTAGCTCTAGGAAGCTCAGTCTTGCATTCTGTGGCTGCTTTGAGCAGGTCAGAAGGAGGGTTTATAATAAAATCTACTCAGTAACACAACTTACAGCTTTTGCTACCACCAGCCACACTCATAAAGTAATTTTTTGCCCTGTTGAATCACAGACACTGTTTCTACAAGAGGGAGGAGGGGCCCTTCAGGGTCCCTGCAGTCTGCAACAGGTTTTTTGCACCAAGTCCCACTATTCTGCTCAGAGGTAGGGGAGCTGGGAGGCCTGCAGGAGCATCAAGTGCCTCTGCACTGCTGCTTTCTAACACAAACTGAATGAGGCTTTCAAAGACAGCTGTTCAGCTCCCAGGCAGAGGGGAGGGCTGGCCTGCAGTGCCTAATGCAGGACTGGGCACAGGCATTGTTTAGTGGGAAGTGGGGAGAAGTGGAAAGCAGTCTTCCCCTTTTTGAAAAAGCAGGAATCGGCTCCATTCCCTAAGAATAATTTTCATTCCATTGTTAGAGCAATAAAATATTTATCAGCATTCAGCACCAGCCTAAGATCTTTGCTTAATAATTTGCCCTGATATTACCTAGTGGCTCTGCAACCTGAGGGTGCAGTTACCTGTGGTGGAAACAAAGCTATCTCTAGCAATAATTCACCCATAAACCATTCCTTTCATTTCTGTTGGGGTTAAAATACTTGCAAACAGCTCACACATGAAAAAAAAAGTAAAAAGCATCATTTGCTCCAAGGTCCAGCTAGAATAGAGGAGGAAAGGATTTAGCCCTGTTTCTTTTTAATGTATGTTGTAAAGAAGGTTGACTCTATCTTACAAGCATCTGAATCTGCAGATAATAAGTCCAGTGAAATGTAGTGGACTTTGCCAGCACAAAGCCAAGGCCAAGAATGGGACACTCAGGAGTCCAAGGTCTCCACCTTCCCATCAGTCAGCCCACAATCTCCAGAAAAGTGACAGTGACCAAGACACAGGCACCCAGATATATCAGGCAGCAGTAGTTTGTAATATCTTATTGCAATATCCCTGAGCCCACAGTGGGAAAGGAAGGAACTGTTCCTACTTATTTCAAATCTTCAGAGGACTTCAGGCATCCAGCGCTCATCAAAATCAGTGAGGGTTCAGCCATCAGCCCTAGATCCGAATGCAGCCCCCACCAACATCTAGGACAATCTAGGATTAGTTTATCAGGATTTGTATCAAGTTGGTGCAATATGGACAGGGTAGTGTTTGCATTCTTTCAGGAACTTACTGCCTTCTGTACGCAAAATTAAAATACACAATTAGATTTCTGCTGGATTGATCTGAACCTCCTTCTATTCCTATATGAGATCATACTTTAAATGCCCAGCCTGAACATAAATACTTAATGTAATAAATACAGTCTGAAATATTTGATCCACTTGGCAGTTTAATTGATCTACTACAGAGACTGACAGGAAAAATTAAATTAGTTTTGTCTTGTCTCTGCCAACATCACATTCAAATTGTAACAATATTTGATCTACACTTTTCGTTGTGGACTCTTTTGTGCAGTTCCATGGTTCAGTTTAAGGTGGGAAGAGAGGGATAGGAGTGGGGCACATGCTGATACATAAACATCAATATAAATTTTTAAATATGCATTTTGTGTTTCAAGTCAAGGGCTTAAAGAATTTAATGAGTAGTCTTTCCAAAAGGCAAACTCCACATTCCTTTCCTCTTTCATTATTTGTGCATATCAGCATTTGATATGGACAGCTGAATTACAACCTGACATGGAGGGAAGGAGAGAAAAAATCCCATTTAAAACCCTCATATATCAATGCATGATTCTTAATTTTCAGAGAAATAATATGTTTGATTTAATTATTGTTATCTTCTCATGGTAGTCACATTGGTTTACTTCAGCTCTAATCCCTATCATAAGGATTGGAAGGTCAACGACAATCTCAAGTTTGTAGTATTGATTACCAGTGGGAGCTGAGCAATGGGAGCTCCCTCTTGCACTTCACAGATGACACCAACATTCTGTCAATTAAAGCCTAAGTGAAAAGTAGGAAACATAGAAGTGTCTTTATTCAAATCTTCTCGAGCTCTGAATCAAGAAGTTCAGAACAAGAAAAGCATGAACTGAAATGGAGAAGCATCAGATGGTTCCAGTTTAATTTGGGGTAGCCTCAAGGCTGCTGAAATTATACTAGATGGTTTCTCCTTCTGCTGAGAAGCTGTTTAAGTGTGGGAAGTACCCTGTGCTGCCCAGAGCCTGGAAGAGCACTTCAGAGGTGCCAGCAGAATCCAAATGTTATAATTTCACATCTCCTTGGCTGTGACCCCTCTTTGCCCAGTAGAAACAACAAAGAGCTGATGATCTGGCTCAGATATTCCACCATGAGGAGCCATTCTGTCAAAATAACTCAACACTGGAACTGGAGGATTTCATCCTCCTTTATTTGTGCCAATAGTACTCCCCAAAAAAAAATTCAGATGCCAGGACTTGCCTGTTAGAGCAGGAAGGCTGGCAGCAAAGCCCACAGAAAAGCTGGGAGAAAAGAATGCTGTCAGCTTGGCAACCTCATCATTTCTTTGAATGCTGTCAGCTTGGCAACCTCATCAACCAACCTGCCCAGCCAAGGTCCACTAACCTAATCAAGATTTGTCCTGGAGGAACAAGACAGCATCTATTTCCTACTCGTGCTCTTAGGGCTCCAAGTGCCTTTGTATTTCCTAGTGAAAAAGACCAAAAATCTCTGCCTCTGAGGCAGAGCAGTGATAGAGCTGGGGACCTGTGATATGGGAATCAAAAGAACCTTCTCAATGTGTGTGAATCTGCAGCAAACTAAAGAAATGTTTTAGGTTCTCTGAAGTCAGAGTGGCAGATAAACTAAGAAAAATGCCAAACAAACCCACTTAATATATTGGCTGTGTTACATCAGAAAACTCAGTAAATCCATAATCAAGAATGACACTGAAAATAAAAGACTCTAAGAGTTTTATTCTCATTCCCCAGTCTTACGTAAATGGGACTTTCAGTTCAACAAACACGAGTTCAAGGGTGAGTTAGGTCCTTGAACCCTTCTTTCACAGCCTCGGCAATGGGAATTGCCTAACGGAACTGAGCGAATTCCCTCCATCTTTCCATAATAGCAATTGAAATGTAATGGACGGGCAGTTCTAGTTATGTTTTAGGGTTTTTATCCTGGATACTGCAATTAAACCTCCCTAATATGAACAGCAACCACAGTAGCAGCAAACCATAAAAGAGCCTAATCAACAGTGGCCTGCAATGCCCATTTGGATGTGCATAATACAATCGAGCTCCTCTCTCAGTGGTGTGGGGGTGCCGTGAAAACCAACTGAGCTATAACTTGCACGGAGAAGAGCTGTGGGTGAATTATGAAAGTAATTCCCTGGCAAGTGTAATTATTTCTCTCCTCATACACTTCACTCATCATGGGTCTGGGGAAATTTCAGCGGAACGTAACAGACACACTCTTGGCCTCAGCCACCAGAATGGTAGAACACATCCGCCGAAAAACGGAGATTCTTGTTTACACCCATTAATAACATCTTCTGCATTAATGAATTGCATTCATGCTGTCATCCATTAAGAAGGTACTTTGAGGTCTCTCTCTGCAGAGAACACTAGCTTCTCCAGATGACTCTATAGTTATACAGCCCATAAATAAAACAAGTATTTTCCCTTCATCTTTGAGGTCTGCAATTAAATCTACTAAATGGACTGCAGATGCCTGGCTTACAGTAAGTGTTTCATCTTAGAAGATCATGGAACTGTCGAAGTCACCACAATGAAGTAGCATAGTTGTCAAACCAGGGCAATTTTAGAGAGTAATGAACATCAGAAATTTCATCTCTGTGAGTCAACCTTTTCCTCATTATGGTCAGCGGTGAAGTACTAAACTCCTGAAGTAGGAAACACTGTATACCCCAGAAATTATGATGTTGTGCTAATTCTTCAAATGAGGAATTGTATTTCCTGACAGAATAGTACATGGGGAGAGGATACAGTTGTTAACAGATGTTTGCTATTGAGTACAGCCTCCACTGTGCTAAACTTCAGAGAGACAGGAAAAGGTCTGTTGTATTATTGAACAGAGAAGATTGGACAGAAACAGAGAAAAACTGTCCAGTGATAATATATTCTTCTCTGGAAAAAGTCTATATTCTGAATAACAGTTTTCTTTGCATAGTATAGCCATCCCATTTTATTAACAGAACATCCTGTGGTGCCAATATCTTCACTTTGATGGGGAAAAAAAAATCTTGGTTTCAGACACAGCAGAATTCATGAGGCATAGTGCTTAGGGAAAATAGCTTTCTTCTCATTCATCAGAGCAGACCTGGTCTCATGCTCCAACAATATCACCTTACCCTAGAAATGGCACATGGGGGGTCCAGAGCCACATAAGGCAAGCCTAACGAGCACTTCACAGTCTTTCCAAAAGCAAAGTTGCAGTCTTAGTCCGTGCCCCAGACTAGGCTGTCTTAAGATTTCCTATCTCTTGTGGACCAGCTTCACCCTCAGCTATTACATCCTTAAATTACAAATTAGATCCCAGACTCTTGTGGCCTAAGCACTTTATGTAGCTTTGGAGACCTGGGTCTGGAGCCAAGCAAAGCCAGAGAAAGAGAAAGAGAGGAATTGGGTTTTTTTACTAAAGATGAAGAACTCTCAGATGACAGAATGGAAATGGTCCCTGAGAGCCTAAAATAATTATTAATTACTTACATCACCATCATCACTTGTTATTCGCTGTATTGATTTTGTCTCCTTCTAAAGCATCAGTCAAATATTATTCACCAACACCAGCAAATTGTTGTCTCACAAGTCCAGCAAAATGCCTCTTGTCTCCTCAAAAGAGTAAGAAAACAACCTACACTTCCTAGGAGAACCTGATGTGCTGAGAGTGCTCATTTTTTTGCAGGCAGCTCTTATGGCTGTACTGAAGAATGGTTCCCTTAACTGGCCAGAATTGTTCTCCCAGTGGTGGGAATATATATCTGTTTACAAGATCCACATAGAGGAGCTGCATTTTATTTGATACTTGCATAGAAGAAAGCAGGGCCATGCATCCTTTTGTAGTGAAATAATGCTTTGATTCTGGAGCAAATATTTTGCTTTAAAAAGTACAGAGAATTCCTGGTAATTTCAAAGCATGTCTGGCACAAAACAAATACTGTGAAGACCTCTCAGTCATTTCACTCTTCAATAAAACTTGCAAAATTTTGGAAAACCTTTCTACTTGCTGGGTTTTCCCTTATCCAAACAATCCAAAAAGCAAGCAGCTCATAGCTTTTTGCCCTGTGCTGAGTTTTACGGGATTTGTGTGACATAAAGTCCTATGCCTCCAGACTGACTGTGGCAGGGTTCTGGCATCATTCTGCAGCAAAATGCAACTAGATTTTCAAGGGAGAGGCTTAGGTCCCTTAATTAAGATGTATAAGGACACATACTATTGCCCACATGCACACAGCTCCTGTCTCAAACGGAAATCAAAAGAGAGTTGAACAAACTGAACTGAGAATATGACAAAGACAGTCACATCAAGGTTTTGTGGACACTGTGTCTCCCCCTGTCCTTTCCTTCCTTCTCACAACATTTATCTTTTCCTCCAGACTGACTCATGAGTTTGGTTGTGCTCTCAAATGCACTGGTTTAGCTGAAACATCATTTACCTGGAGTTTCCATACCAAAGAAAAGCAGACTGTGCATTAGGCCTGTGACACCTTTGGTCCACTCAGAAGATCTAGAGATTGCCCTGGTCACCAGTTAACAGGACCAAGACTCAGTGACTGCTGTGCACAGCTCTACCCCAGCCCAATGGAATTCCTCTTGAAGAAATGGGGAAAGAGGAACTTGTGGAGATGGGCCAAGGAAGGAGGACACAATACTCAATATATCAATGTCACAAGAGAGGTGTTACAATTATTCTCTGCTTGTATATATCAGATTTGGTCCCTCATATAACAATAAGTTCTTCCCCCTTAGCCCCAAAGCCAGAATTTGACATTACAAAGACCTAGCAGCAGCAGCAGCAGCAGCAGAAGATCTCCCCTCAAAGCAGCAGCTCAGACTACCAGTCCCATGCCAGGTTAACAATACCCTGACAGGCACACACAGCTCCTGGCACACACAGATGTCCAAATCTGTATCTGCATTCCATAAAATCAAAATATGCTACTTTATCCCTTGCACATACCTGGAGATTTCTAGTGCCAGGCAAGAAATATAAAACAGACATTTCAGGAATGAACTGCATGTCTAACTGACAACATTCACCAAGACAATATGCAGGCATCTGATACATGACCATTCCTATACAAATTGTATAAATAAAAAAAAACTCTATTTACATTTGGGACAGTTTTTTCAGGGACACTGTCTCTTAGTCTGGGCAACTGACTATTTAATACCTACAAAAGCTTCAGGAATAGAACTTTTTCTGCCCCTAGGCTGTAAATCTTCAATCAAGCAAAAAAGAGCAAATTATTAGTTTCTCAATTTATTGGCTAAGCTGTAAAATCAAAGAGAAGAGTAACAGGAAGTCTTCCAAATAAATAAAACTAAAAATAAACAAACAAAAAAACAACAACAAAATCCAACCTCAAAAAAATCAGCTAAAAATACCAACCCCTCACAAAAAATTTAATATTTTTATGTCATTTTGCTTGGTTTTGTTTATTTGGGCATTTTTTTCTTAAAATTTAGCTACATTTAAACATGAAACCAGTGAGAACACATATTGATGCATTTAATTTGAAAATGTTTGAATGTAAACTTTAAGGAAAAATACTCCTTTACTGTCATCAAAATTATTCACTGAACACAACTCTATTTCCACACTTTTCAACCTGTCTGGAATTACAGTTATGAATGAATAATATTTTTGCCTGAAAAACTTCATCTTATTTACTTCAGAGAGGCTTCCCAATGTAAAAAGTGAAAATTTGCAACCCCAAGACTTCACAGGGCAGAGATCAAGAGGACTCAGGCACTCTAAGCAGCTGCTGCCCACCTACAGGTCACAATAAGCCTTTAGGTTTTAGGGCTTTTTTAGGACCCTGTGTGTCCTTTCTTGTTTCAAACTTCCAGGTCCCACACCTACCAAACGAGCAGTAACTGTGTGATGTGTCTGGCTTCAGCTTCTTTTGAAAGACAGGAGGGAAGAGGGTGCAGGGGGCAGGACACTGGACTTAACACACAACTCACTCCAGGAATACACCTTGACAGTGCTGATTTAACTGGAAATACAAGGAGCATGAGGTATGCCAGAGAATACAGTGAGATGTATTAGAGGACATTTTTCTTTGTAGTGGTGGGTCTTTAACTGAGAAACTTTCCTCACAAGTTCTTGCAGCACACTGGGACACAGAGTAAATGTATGTGCCTCTTTATGCTTGGCACTGCTATAAGGCTTTGCATCCTATAAATCTATAAATTGAATTCATCCTGCTTACACTCTTAGTCTTATAAATTGTTAGACTAAGAACAGCTAATGGATGAGTAGGTGATTTATTTTTAAAAGTTGCATACTGCTGCTGGATACCGAAAGTATATAGACACAGGATGTACCCTTCCTGAAGCCGGGGTCCCAGGTAATACAAATTACTTTGTATCCTCCCCTGTCCCCAGGAACATGCTTTATTCAAGTTCTCAAAGGGGATCTACTGTCCAAGAAGAGAAAGGTCTGGATTGTGAAGAGATGCACTGTAAAGGAAACCACATGCAAAGAGCGGATGAGGCATCAGTAATGGTGCCAGGTACTACATAATGCAAAAGGATGTATATAACTAATTTATTGGAATAAATTTAGGTCTTTAAAAAAAATGCATATGCAACAAAAACTCTAAAGGAGCAAACTCTACCTGTCTTACTCCTTCAGAGAAAACCTGACCTCACAAAAAGTATCTGTCAGAGTAAAATGAAGGAGTTTTGCCACAAATGATCCTACTACAAGAGACTCACTTCGATATGTGCAGCACTGGTCAGTGCAAATACTGCCAATCTAAACAGAAAGAGGGGTCTGCCATTTCCCAAAGGTTTCCTCACAGAGGGCAGTGGGACCATGCCACTTAGCTTGAAAGGGATGCTCTTTGAGCTTCCTCCCAAGTAAAATAAATTACCTTTTAGAGAGGCGACGTGGGATAAAGCTTGTGCATAGGTGGCTGTGTTGAGAAGAGTCCCCGGCAGGCAGGAAGGGAAGAAAGGTCCTGTAGGACCCACTGCTCGGCTTAGGCTGATGGAGAGAAGAAGACAAATTCCTTACAAAACCAGAACCAGCTGATTCCCTTTGTGCATGCACTCAAACGCATTGGTGTCTCAGCACACAACTAGATGTGACCCAGGCTGGACAACATCAGTCTCAGACAGCCACCAGCTCCTCAGCTTCTCCACAGGGAACAGTGGATTGCACAAGAAACACCTAATTTTCTAAAGATGATGCCTCTAGGTCAAGGCATAGCAGCAAATCTGAGGCACATATGAGGCATTCTTGCCCCACAGACAGGTAGGCAGATGATATAATATATTACTCTTACCTCTGCTGGATCTCCAGACCCTCTTTTTTATTCCTGGTTTGGTCTGTTGGAGAAGGGGAATTTAAATTCCTCGCAGGAGGTGCCACCTCAGCCATGGTTTCCTTAGAGCCCTCTTGGTCAGAAGCACCCCTCTCTGTTTTTCTCCATTTAGCCCTTCGATTTTGGAACCACACCTGGAGCAGGAGAGGAATCCTATGTGAAAACCATGTTTAGCTAAATGTGAAGCAAGGAGATTATAAAATGTTACTCCAGTGAAATCTGTCATTTACTAGCTTAGCTAAATCTTCCTCTTATTTTGTATCCCCATTGCTATTCTAGTTGATTCTTAGGATGACATTTGTATTTGTGATATTTCTGCATCTGGAAAGCAAGCCGGAAATGTCTAAAGACATTCAAAAGGCATGTCACAACAAAAATGTAGGGTTAAATACATGTCTAAGCACTCTGATGAAAACATATAGAAGTCTTTAAATCAGCTGCTGCTAGAATCAGAGAGATCAGAAGTGAAAAGATGTGGATCTGGCCATCTTATCCAGCCCATTTTCTGGGGAGGGCTGATACTGGCTGTTCTTCCTCTCATGGCCAGTCTACTTTCAGAGGACTCAAAAGCAGATAGGTACTAATTTTGGAACATCATCCTGCAGTTTAATAATGTTTTTGTGCAACTGCCCCCACTTCAGGCCACACTATGAATTCAGAATAGAACACCAATTTCCAAAACTTTTTTTCCCCCGTATGCAAAACCAATATTAATATTCTTGATTTTTTTTCTGGCTATTATTCTAAAAATTTTTTTTCCTATTAACCTAGGAGCTGATATGCTGAAAGTATGATGTTTGAGGTGGCAAATGCCAAGTCTCTCTGGAGGTCAGGAAATCCACATTTTAATACATGAATTCAAGTATGGGCGAGATTGTTGTTATTATTATTCTTCTCCTTCTCCAATTCCATTTTAGTTAGCTACCTTTTAATTGCATGTATCAGCAAACATTGAATAATGATTTTATCTATATTCTAAATTTAGAGCAGTTAAATGCAAAGCAAAATGCAGACACTTTCTTGTGTCTTAATTGAATGAAGGTCACAGCTATAACAATATTTAATTGAGCTATTTTTCATTATCATATTTTAATGACTTTGCACTGACAGTTCGCCTGCTTCTGAGGAAAGAGCATGATGAAGTCGTTTATTTCCCTATTTAGTTATTGTTTGACAACATCATCTTCGATTAAGACTCTGCTTTATAGCACATTAATCATATTTGAATGAGCAAGGGGTATAATGTAAACATATCTCCCATCCTCTGTGTTTCCCCATGTCCCTGCATGAAAGCAGGCTAAACAAATGCTTGCATCTATTGTCTGTTTGCATAATAGCCAACAACAAGGCTAAACACCAGTCCTCAGCAATCTAATTGTCACCACCCCTATCTCACCCTTGCACCTTTCAGGAAGAAGTTATGATCTTCCACTTCTGAATGCTCAATAATTGTCCCATTTATCTCAATTTGCAGTTCAGTCTTTAGGCACCAATAGCCAAAATGGCATTTTTTATTATTTTTTTAAGCCAGTACCTACAATGCAGTGGTAAAAGGAGATTTTCATTTCCAAATAATAATCAGTTTAATTTGCCCGCATATGACCAATGATTCATGTTCAGATTTAATAATCAGGATCACATAATCTGATTATAGGAGAAATAATTTGTTTACAATCCCCAATTTACTGTGGTGAATTCCATTATCTCTCTTCAGCCATTGGGTTTTAAGAGATACTAACATGACCCTAGGGAACAAAAGGCAAGCTATTATATTTCCTACAATTAGATCTTTGCATAGTCTTAACCCCAAGCACCTAAATTAAAAAAAAAAATAGAAGAACACCATGCAGAAAAGCCCCATAAATAAAAATGAATGCATAATCGTGTTCAAAAAATGGTTTGCAACTCTGTTGTGGATGCCTAAAGAGTTACGGGGATCCATCCCTGACGACTGCAGGACTGCTTGTTTTAGCAGAGAACCTGCATATACATATGGACTGGACATGGAAAAACAAACATGGAAAAAAGAAAATAAAAACTAAGGAAAAACGTGAGGAGAAGGAAGAAAGGAAGGGCTGGAAAAGTGCGGCTGTGGACAGAGCAATCATGGCCAATGGTATTTATTGGATCATATTAAAGGTGTGGGAATTGCTCTGCAGGCTCTTTATCTGCCTAAATTAAGTGTTTAGAAAGAAGGCAAAAGGGAGAAAAGTTGGAGAGGTGCAGAAGATTTCTTCCTGGCAGCTGGGCTCCCTGCAGTTGACTAACCCCACTGCTCGACAGTGGTCATAGTTGCTTTGGAGAATCACGTCTCAGCTCTTTTCTCTGCACCACGCCCCCCCTCCAAAAGCAAGGAAATGGATGTGCATTGATGTAATTTAGTACCTTGGAGACGCGGACAAATTAGTGTAGAACATTATCACTAGTTAATTATGAATGACCGATTAATCAACCTAATCTAATATTCCACATTATGTTGATGTTATTAAAGTGCATCATGAAAATGACAGATCGTCTTCATTTGCGTTCTTTGGCCAAATGTGCACTCTGCAGTCATGATGTCAAATATAAAAAAAATTTTAAAAAAAAGTTTGCCAGTTTGAATATCCGAGTTAAGTAATTCCCCAGGATGTTTACCTGCACCCTGGCCTCCGTGAGGTTGATTTTCAGAGCCAGCTCTTCCCGAGTGAACACATCGGGGTAGTGGGTTTGAGCAAAAACGGCTTCCAGGGCCTCGAGCTGATGGAGGGAAGCAGAGCAGAGATCTGTGAGAGATCCGTGAGGATCCAGCCGCCCCACGGAGGTGTCTGCCAGGCATGGATGAGGCAGCAGGGCAGGCAGGATGGGCTGGCATGGCACAAGGCATGCGGGAGGGAGGCTGGGAGCCGGCAGGGAGCGGGCATGGGGGAGGCAGGGAGCCGGTGCGGTGCAGGCGAGCTGGGGGCAGAGGGTGCCGAGGCCGGGGGCAGAGGGAAGCGGCTCCTACCTGCTGCAGGGTGAACGTGGTGCGGTTGCGGCGCTGCTTCCTTCTCAGGAACCCGTCGTCGAAGTCGCCGGCGGAGTGACCTCCGAAGGGGGCAGCGCCTGCGGGCCGAGAGCCGCCTTAGGGCCGCTGTGCCCCGGGCACACCGGGCCGGGCACGGAGCCGCTCGGGCGGGCAGCGCTGCCCCAGCCCCGCGGGCACCGGCGGGTTCTGCCACCCAGAGCTCACCCCGGCCCGGGAATTAACTTTTTTTGGGCCATTTGTATTTTAAAAGAATAAAGAGACGAAGCTTTGGCATAGGCGTGCGGACAGCAGCTGGCAAGGGCCCTGCCCGTCTGCCCGGCCGAGGGGGCGGCGGGGCCCTGGCAGGCTCCTCTGCACGCACCGCGGGAGCGGCCGGACGGGCCCGGCAGCTGCCCCGGCTGCCGAAGGAGAACGCGGGCACGGCGCTCGGCGCAGCCCAGCACCGGCCGCTCGGCCACGGCTGAACCGCCGGGACTGGTTAGGGGGCTGGGGAGGCCGCCCTGCCCTTCCCCGAGCGGCGTTCCGGGGCCCGACGGGGGCACCGGGGGTTTGTCCCCAGACCGGGGGTCGGGGGAGGGCAGATGGGCCACCGGGATGTGAATCACGGCCCATGGAGCCGACCCCGGCCTTGAGGATCCCCCTTGTCAAACATCATCCGTGCGTGCCCGTGTTGAAATGTGTCACTCCCTTTCTGTTCGCTAAAAAACACAAACAAAACAAAACAGACCAAAAAACCACTCAAAACTTAAAGCAAAGCAAAAAATAAAACCAAAGAAATCAACCCCAAACCAAAAAAAGAAAACAAAAAGAACTCCAAACCAAAACCCACAAAGGAGCAAACACTACCAAACCAAAATAAACTCACAGAACAGAAAAATACCCGAACACCCAGAAGTGTTGCTGAGCGTCCCTGTGACCCCACTGGCAGAGCTGCCCGTGGAGTGCTCTGCGGTACGTGGGTTGGAGGTCACCGCTCATCTCGCAGCATCATTTGGAAGATAAACACAGCCCCGAGCCCTCTCCTCGCACAGCCCTCACACCGTGTGGGCCTGAGAGAGGCTCATCTGAAAACAAACTACTGTCCCGGTGACCCCCAGAAAGCGATGTCTTCCCTGCGGCACCGGGCCTCCCACTGCCCGAGAGCTGGCCGGACAGAGCTTTTCTGTTCCCCCTTCTTTGGGTCGGTGGCGGGGTTTGGACGGAGTTACATATTTTTCAGTTTTTTTACTTGTGATGCCCAGCGCTGTTTGCACCCTCTGGCAGGACAGATCGCCCCTTCCCCCCGCCCCGCTGCTGCCCAAGGCGGGAGAGCGAGGGGCCGGCCCCGGACAGCATCGGGAGAGGCTGAAGCCTGCGGGGCCGCCAAACACAGAGAGAAACACACCGGAGAAATAAACCCACAGCAAACAAGCAAACAAGCAAACAAAAACAAGAACACGTTTCCAAAGCTGTCTGCCAAAAACAAGCAAACAAAGCCGCCCCACAGTTCGGTGGCACTGGCGGAGGGACCCTCGCACTGTCCTGCCCAGTCCGACTCCCCTGTCCCGCCCGGAGAAAACTTTGGCGAGTGAATATTCCAGCCGGGATGCACAGACCCGGGTCTGCTGCCCCTGGGAAGCCGTGCTTAAAGAGGGGCTGACCCTCCCCGAAGTGGGATAAAACCGCTGGACCACATCCTCCTGCCAGTGCCGCCGCAGGGAAAGCCCCTTCCCGCCGGTGATGCCCGTGCAGGGAGCGGGGTGTCCTGGCCGGGATTTTACGGGGCCGGGTCGCTTTCCCCGCCGTGCAGCC